CTGCTTCACATGCTAGTTGTCTGTAGAGATGAGTTCAGTTTTTCCAAAATAATTTTGCCAAAAATGCTTCTTTTTGTGTATTTAATCATTATCTACTGTCTCATTATTTTAAAATGTTACCTTTTTTACTGTTTGAATTTCCTTTCTGTGAAACCTAAAATAATGAGGGGCATTATTTTTGGACAGGTCCAGAGTAGATAAAAGGAGGTCAGGAGCCATTAAAAGTCCATTGCACCCTTTAAAAACCCAATTTAGTCTATCTGACCTCCGTCCTTCCCTTCAGTCTTCTATCTGACCTCCGTCCTTCCCTTCAGTCTTCTATCTGACCTCCGTCCTTCCCTTCAGTCTTCTATCTGACCTCCATCCTCCCCTTCAGTTATCTATCTGACCTCCATCCTCCCCTTCAGTCTTCTATCTGACCTCCGTCCTCCCCTTCACTCTTCTATCTGACCTCCGTCCTTCCCTTCACTCTTCTATCTGACCTCCGGCCTTCCCTTCACTCTTCTATCTGACCTCCGTCCTTCCCAGTTGTACCGGCTCCTCTTCTGGACTGAAATGGCTTCCTCTGATGTCACTGCACACTGGGAGCTTCTTATAATGTGCATTAGAAGCTTTAAGATGTCATTTCCTGGCTGGAGGACGTCCTGCATCATTTAGTCATTCACCCCCAACCTTGCTGTCCCTGGCCTGCTAATTGGATGTCAATACCCTGTCAGCCTCTCCCACCAGCCATTATCAGCCTGTATTGCCTAGGAAAGCACGGAGATCCCATTATTACATAATTTGGTCTAAAATAAGATATGAAATGAAAACAACAACATTTTTATTTTAAAATTAGCACGTTATTGATTAGCATGTCAATGAGATTAAAGCGGACATTCACCACCTGTGACTAAAATCATCTCACATTCATTAGTTAAACATATTTTCATTTTACATGCAATTTCTGGTTTTCTACTTCCTGGTTCTCTTTGGCACAAATGATTTTATTGTGCCCAAGTGTTGCATCCTGGGAAGAGGTGAATGGACCTGGAGGTGAATGGAAGAGGTGAATGGACCTGGAGGTGAATGGAAGAGGTGAATGGACCTGGAGGGGAATGGAAGAGGTGAATGGACCTGGAGGTGAATGGAAGAGGTGAATGG